GCCCCCTGGTGGGCTGAGCTGGCCACACACACAAAATAAATGAAATAAAATAAATAAATAAATAATAAAACATATCAAAGATCTGGATATGGTGGAGCACTTGGGAGGCTGAGACAGAAGGACTGCCTCAAATTCATAGGCAGCCTGGGCTAAATAGTAAGTTCAAGGCCAATCCAAACTATACCATGAGACCCTGTCTCAATAAATAAATAAATAGATAAACAAATATTATAAATATTAAAGAGATTTTAATAACTGGACACAATTAGATGATGAGTTACCATTAATATATATAAAACTAAATAAAATCTGAAAACACCAAGAAAATCAATGAGTTTTAATAAATAGTACAGTTATCTCTCAATATCCATGGGGCATTGGGTCTAGGACCTGACCCATCATGTATACTGAAATCTACAGATGCTCCATTTCCTTATATAAATGGTGTAGCATTCAATGTAGAATCTAAATGGGATAATATTTGCACAATTTAAAGTACATGAAATGTACACCCCTCCATATTCTTTATATTTAGTACCGGGTCTACAGTTTCTCACTACACAGATCAGACTTGTGGTGATCCTTCTGTTTCAGCCTCCCAAGCGCTGGGGTTACAGGTGTGCACCACCATGCCCAGTCTCAATCGCTGTCTCGGTGCAACCTGGGGACGGGGCCAGCATGGCACGCCGGGAATTAAACCCAGTCCCTGAGCCTGCCTAAGCAGGTGCTTTAATCCTCTCAGCCATCTGACAGGCCCTCCATGGTCTTTAAATTGTCTCTTCTAAATAACCTACACACATTCTCTCGTATACTTTAAATGATCTCTAGATTACTTCTAAAGCCTAGTACGATATAAAGTTATGTACATATTGTACTACTTAGGGGTTAATGACAAGAAAGACTGTATATGTCTATGAATGGTTGGCTGAATTCACTGATGCAGGACCCACGAACATAAGGGCCATATTTATCACACAGTAACTCATGTGATTACTCATCTAACCAGAACTGGGGGAGGCAGAAAATGTTCATGTCTATGGTAGACAGGGAGAGGTAAAAGCAGCAGCTTTTAGTCTTTCATGGTTACCACCAACCAAAAATATCCAAAAGTGAGAAATTAAGAAGCGGTAACACAAGTTTACTGCAAGAAAACAGCAAAAGAAACAGCTCTGAGTTGTAAAAGGTAGCTTTTCGTCAATGGGAAATAAAAAATGAGGATGAAATGGTGGCTTCTATTTCTGTACTAAATTTAATAGAAAATAAAGTAGAGGGCTGGCGAGATAGCTCAGTGGTCTAAAGCGCCTGCTTAGGCAAGCTTAAGCAAGTATGCAGGGACCTTGGTTCGATCGATCCCCAGCTCCACATGCCATGCCAGCCCCGCCCCCAAGGTAGGCTGAGCTGACCATAAAAAATAAAAAAATAAAAATCTTGATTTTAAAAAAAAGAAAGAAAGAAAATAAAGTAGAGGAAGAACAGTATGTCTGACACCATTTGTAAATGCTGAGCTCACCTGCAGGAATTGTGTGAATTCTGTGTAGTTAAGATGCTTCTTCCGATTATGTCCAAAATGCAGTCGGATAAATTCACAGTCCCAGTTAAAAGGGATATGATGGTGAATGATTGTCTGTCCAAAAATTTCCTTGACATTTTCTTAAAAGGGAAAACAAAAATAAATCAGTTACACCTAGAATAAGTAATCTAATCCTCTGCAGTGTTCCTACAGAAAAAAATTAAGAGAAGTTTTACAAGTCAATATCATCTATTTCTACTAAGATTAACTGCAAATTTATTTTTATGCCCAGCAACCCATGTACAGGAGCACATTTGATACAAAATATAATTTTACACTTAAGATTGTGTACCATTACATATAAGGCCATGTAAGTCTTAATTTCTCTTGATTTAATTTTAATTAGGAAGTGATTTATATCTTGCACTATAAATGGCTGCTACTTTACATTCCAGTATAAAATCAATAGTGTTTTCCCAGTTCCTCAAGGAGTCAAATTAAACCCTTTATCAGAAGCATGAATACCTAAATTACAGTATAATGCAATATTTGTCATACTAAGTATGGTTTGATTGAGGCTTGATTATTACATTCACACTAGCCTGAATATGTCTATTGAAGATAGGTAGAAGAAATACTACCAAAAGCATATCATTAGCTCAGCAGCAAGCACCTTATTAAAAGCTTCTGATATTGTCAAAAATATGGTCTTGACACAAGGCTTCAAAATCCCCTAAAATCCATGATTATTAATCTGAAGTATTAAAATATTTTAAGATGGGTGAAATTAGTGATTCACTTTCAAATAAAAAACCAAGCACAGCACACTAACTTTTAGATGGGAACCAGTCACAGTGAGTAATATACAACCAAAATTCTCTGGCCGCTTGTCTTCATGCACTAGCAATGCCATTAGCTTTCTTACAGTTTCACATTTATTATAAAAGTCAATTCACAGATGAGTGATATTTTAACAAGCATAGGTTGGATAGACTAATTTGAAAGCTCATGCCAAAAAACAAAAAAAGTCATTAACAAAGTTAAGAAAGCAGGAAGCCTCTTTTAATGAATGTCTTAAAAATAACATTTTTTCAAATGGAAGCTGAATTATTAGTATGTTTTATGATCAATAGCTGTCAGTTATATTAGAGAGTTAGTAAACACAAGCTTAGTGTTTTATAATCTGCTCCAACAATGCTTTTTGTCTCTAATTTCTGCAAATTCTTTAGCTAGGGTACTGACCTCAAAATGTAAATGGCTTAGTAGGTTCCCTTTCTATTATAGACCCTTTTTCTTAACAAAAGCATACTATTGGAATGAAAGACTAAGAATTCTGAACTGGAAATCCTACCAGTCCGGGCTCAAAATAACAATTCTGAATAGATTACATCATTCAGCTAAGTTGGTGAAAGGCAATGGATGTCACTGGGAAGATGGGATTCTCATCTTTCCTTTCCAATGAACTGCAGGAGTCCTGTCTTGCCTAAGTAGCAACAGTTATTTCAGAGTTTTTAAATCTTGTCAAGTATTCCCATTTTACATAAGTATAAATTGACTGCTATGTAGGTTTTTATTCCTGAAAGAAAATTAATAACAATTCATAGAATCTTGATCTGTAATCAACACAAAAGATTATTCTTAAAGCTATTTGAAACTTCAAGGAGTAAAGTATGTTACAAGTTTGTAAGATAATTAAAATAATAAGGACCAGAGAATGAGGCTCTGGTGTTCAAGCCCCAGCAAAAAAAAAAAAAAAAAAATTGGCTTACAAAATAGTAAGGACAACAAAAAAATATTTAGAACTAAAACCTTGTGGAAGTGAAGCAAAAAAATGTTAGGATCCTTCTAATTAAATTAGTTGGCTGCTTCTATTTCCAAAATGAACTTAATTGCTTTTTTTTTTTTTTTTTTTGCAACATAACTACTTTTTTAAAAAAACTGTTTTTTTTGGGGGGTGTGTGTGTGTGTGTGTGGCCAGCTCAGCCCACCAGGGGGCAGGGCTGGCTGGCATGTGGTGCTGGGGGATTGAACCATGGTCCCTGTGCTTTGCTAAGCTTGTTCTAAGTAGGTGCTTTAGACCACTGAGCCATCTCACCAGCCCATGCTTATTTTTATCTAATAAAAAGAATGTCCATCTAAAAAACAAGGGAAAAAATCAATAGAAAGCAGAATAGTGTAACTTTAAGTTACATTTAATTAATAGTAAGATTAATTATCAAAGAGAATACATTACTGCATGGTAACCTTTATTTTAAAGGTCATAATTTCCATCAGTTATATGTTAACAAATGTAAATATTGCTATCTGGGTAATTTTTTAGTAGTGCCAAAAATGGAACACTTTTTATATGATCAGAAAAGTATCAGAAACTTTCTGGGGTCTTTTATGTACCAGGGATCAAACTCAGGACTTTGTGCTTGCCAGGCAGGTACTTACGCCACTGAGTTATCACCCTGTCCCAAAATATCAGAATCTAAAGTGTGAAACTAGCAAATTAAAGATTTAAAAAACTTCAAACTAATGAAATTTAATTATCTATAATATTTTTCCTGCTATCACAAAAAGGATATTTATAAATTTGTAAACTATAATTTACATTTAGAAAATTTATAATTTAGAGAAAAATATCTCCATAATAAAAATGTTAAGACTTTATTTTATAAACTCCTAGCAATCTCTAAATAAGATCTTAGAATGTCATTATACCAATTAAAATAATGGCCTAAACTATTCGGAGAACTCTCTCCAAGTAGAGTTTGCCTTGAGCATATGCTTAGGCACTTCCTACTTCTCTCAAAACGATGACACGATAACTTTGCATGTGGGTTTGTTATCATCATTATTATGTGCTGTGGTTTATTAATTACTTCCCCAGACACTTCTGTTTTAGTTATGCTACAGGCTACAATGTGGTTCTGTAACTAATAAAATGCTAAACCTACTTTAATATCTCTTGACATACATATTACTTTTTAAAATTTCCATTACCAGTTGCCTAAGGCTGGTACAGGAATGTGACAGAAATAATCAGTATAACTATTGTTTTGAAGTCATTCATATACTCACCACTTTTCTTTTACCCGTGTATAAAATGTGTGTGTGTGTGTGTGTGTGTGTGCGTGCTCTCCAGAATAGAGAGCTTAAAGATATTTGTGAGAGGTAACAGCTCAAATAACTGATTTTCTCATCTTACTTGATTTTATTAGGTTCTGCATATGAAAAGGAACAATAATTTCATATATACCCAAAACATCTACTTTAAACTGTAGAGCAAGCTTCCCATCTGAGAGAATCCCATCTTTTCAGTGGCAAACAAGGATTGTTAGCTCTAAAGAACTCCTTAACAGAGCTATTTTAGTGGCCATAGTTCTGGCCTGGAGGAAAGGGATCTGACAGCCCCACCTTAATTGGCAGCAAGATCATGTTCTGGTACTTTGTACTAGAATAGCATTGCTAAGAGAAACAGGAGTGCATTCATTTTCTAACATATAGAAGACAATAGACTACTTTTTCACTTCCTGCAGAGTATGGGCTTATGAGAAGGACGGCTTATAATTCCAATGAAAAAAGAATTGAAGCTAGATACAAAAGTAGCCTGCCAATATGTTCTTTCTGCTCAAAGGAGAGGAGCACAATGACTTGTCAGGAGGCCAGGTAATGGTGACAACTGTGATCAAGTAAAAATGTTTACAGTTGTACAACATTAGTTGGTTTAGCTGTATCAGTGACTTATAATGATTGGACTAGATGAAATACACACAGAGGTTTCCGTTCCCCCAGCAGCCCACACTGAGGTACCCAGCTCCTCCACCCTTATCCCTCCCCTGGCTTTCATGGGAGCTCCCTACTGGACTTGTTCACCTTTCTGCAATACAAAATTACCTCTGACCGGGGCTGGCACTCTTCTCCAAGACTGCCACCATGCCTGTTCCATGAATGAGCCTGGAAGGAGCTGCTGTACCAACGGTGTGGCCAGAGAACTCCTCCTGTAGGTATACAAGCCATCAGCCCTGTGACACAGCCCACCTACCATCAGCCCAACTTGACATCCTGAGTCCAAGGATTCCAGCCCAGCAGGAGCCACTGCTTCCAATTTGCAGGCTTGAGACCAAACACTCTTATTGTCAGGGGAAAAAAATTCCTCAATAGCTGAGTTTCACCTGCACAATTCTTAAAGTGAAGTCAGAGAATCTTTCAGGACACCCACCGCAAATAGTGAATATCCTTATATATAACTGAACAAACACAATGGTGAGGCTTGTGAAAGTGAAGTGTTTTTCAGTGAAGGAAAAATCAGAGGTAAAGAGGAATGACTGGGAGGCCAAAAATAAGGAAAACAAACAGCAACAACACGACCAAGAACAGGAACTTGTAAGTCCCAACCATCGTATCATGTAGACTCTTCACAGATTTCTGGGTCCTACTTCCAGGTAGTTCGTTAGTGTCCTAAAGAACCTCCTCTGTTCTCTGGGAGATGTATTCCTCTTAGCCCTTTACCTACCTCCAGAAAGAAATAGTGTATGGTCAGCCAACAGAGTAGTCCTGATGCCAAACACATGTAAAGGTCCACTTCTCCGGAAAAACAAGTTCACATTGAAAGAGCATCTATTATTACAGAAGCTTCAATGGTCTCCTATCACATGGCATAAAGGCTAGTGATACTGCATCCTTATTTTTTGTCTTTGTGCCTCCAACTCTAAGCTATTCCAGTAGGCTTGTGTGTCTGAAAGAATGTAAAGCATCTCAAAATGTCTGACTTAATGGAACCCTAAGGGAAGCTCTACTTCATATCAAATTATCTTATCACCACTAGAGTTTCATATTATCCATGTCCATGGCTTTCTTTCCACTGAGAAACAAATATAAGGTTTTTCATATTTATGCTTCTTTTTCCCAACCCTTCAAATAACAGCAACAGTTACACTTAAACCAACCCATTCTATTTTTCCCTTTAGGAAAAAAAACAATTTTAGATGGAACACACAATGGAACACATTTGTATTTGCTGGATTTCCATACCGACAATCAATACAATAATAAACCAAAAGATAGCTGTCCTTCTTTAGGGTTCTACACTCAAGGGTGAGGATGTGTCCCTGGAAAAAAGTCACTTTGAAGAGATCTCATTCCTAGGAAAAATACTTTGAAACACAATGTTCATGAGTTAATACAGAATAGAACATGTTTCATATTCATCAATTAACAAATAAGTTTCTTTTTTGTTCATTTTCAAAATGTGATCTTAGCCAAAAGGTCGAGAAATGTTCTTTTTTTATATATATATAGAATGATTGCATCATTGTTAAAGCAGTAGGCCTTTTTTTGGGGGGGGGCACTTGTAGCTATTGACAACACAATGTACTATAACAACTCAACTAGATTACCTCAACCTGATTCTATCAAGCAGGATAGCCAGCACACTAGCATATAAAGTGAGGCCAAGGTAAGCACACCCTGTGTCTAGCACACACTGGTCATGCAATGGCCCCTACAAGGCTCATGCCACCTGGCAATTACAGATAGACAAGCCATTAAGTAATTACCCAAAGCATGCGTTAGAAGTTTTACTAAAAGAACATCAGAAAGTAAATAATCAACTAACAGCTTATTGACTCTTTAGGAAAAACAACTCCGGAACCCTTCCTTGAGCTTTCACATTCGGAAATGTATTACTAGGGCCTCACTATATCCTTTCTCCTACCATGGAGGCATCTTTAATAACAAAAAAATCTTGTCTAGCACACAAGTAAACGTTGTTCGACATCGCTCTTTAAATACTTGTAAAGATGCACACAGTTTAAGTGTACAATTTGGTATGTATAAGAAGCATATCTTAAAAAGAGCACAGATGCAAGCAATATATACAAGCACACAAACAGCATCATCAACCCAGCCCCCAAGAGACATGGATGGCATACTGGCCCTCCCGCGGCTCGATCGAATCTCCCATTCAATATTCTCTAACTTTCTCACCTGTGTGTACAAGAAAACTATAAATAGCTAGAAAACATAAGGCTCTTTGATAAAAAAGATTTACCTTTAGTTAGAATGAATCTAAAATTTCCTTTTACCTAAACATATGTCTATAAATATATAAGCACAATTCATTTTATTAAGTGGGCACAAACATGAAAACTGACCTTCATCATAGATTCAAAATCCTATAAAAATAAACTCCAAGTTAATTATTTCCACATGTAGAAATTCTGTAGTCTTGAATATAACCTGAAATAAGTGACCTTAGAAATCTTGTTCAATGGCATTTGCTGTAAGTTTTAATGTTTTCCCTTTCTTAAAAATTATAAAATAATTCCATATGAATATGCCTAACTATATAATTTTATTCAAATGTATTCATGTTATGAAATACTATAAATTAATCATATAAAGATATAAAATTATGATTCCTTTCAGTTGAGAAATGTTGTCTAAAAACGGTTCTGGGAGTACTGCTTAGTAGCAAAGCACTTGCCCAGCATGCATAAAGTCCTAGGATTGACCCCTAGCACCTCAAAAAATAAAACTTTTTTTAAAAAAGAAAGGGGAAAATGACCAAAGTCCTTAAAAAAATATGAGAGCACCATCCAAAGAGGTGCAGGGACCACCAAGAACAATGTCAAAACAAGATATAATTTTCTTACTCCATAACAATCTTCTTGTCTCTAGATTACAGAGCAGAAAAATGAAAGCAAGATTCTGGACAGCACATATGTTCTTCAGGTCATACCAAGTGCCTTAAAGATCAAAACTGATATGTTCTGTTTTTAATCTTCATTATATTTCTTGAAATTCTAGCTCATAAATCATAGTGTGTAAACCATCAACTACTTCTACCCCTTTTCTTTCTTTTTTTGTGGTCTGGGGATCGAACTCAGTTTCTCTGCACTGAGCTATATGCCCAGCTCCTTTTATTTTTTGAGACAGGGTCTTTCTACGTTGCCCAGGTGGGACTGTTACTTGAAATTTTCCTGCCTCAGCCCCCCAAGATACTGGGCAGACAGGCCTGTGCCATATCTGGCTATATATCTTTTATTAATCAACAATGGCATGGATCTCTGTTGTCAGTCTGTTGGGTAGAGAAACTTGAATAACTTTTTTTAATAGAAAGTAATTAAGTGTCATATGATAGAACAAATTAGATTTCAAAATATCTAATCTCTAATGCACACATGACATAAGCATAAATATACTGTCTCTAACTCAAATACTTGTATCAAATGATTTCTTAAGCATTTCTAAAATACATTTGAGAGTGAGATATGTGAACATGTGTGAAACCTACTGAAATACACAGTACAATATTAGGCATACAGGGACAATGCTGAATGATGGATACAAGGTTTGTGCTTTCAACCATGGAATCTAGCTATTTAGGAGGACAGTAAGCATTCTTTAAAAAAGCAAAAATGGCCAGAGTTTGTTCCCAAACAGGGAGGATGCCAAGATATAGGTAGAAATCTAAGCAGATCTGCATAGTACTTACTTAGGAAATTCTCATACAGAGGACAACCTAGTCAATGGGCAGAGGAAGGAAAGTAGCTGCCAAGGAACCACGGCTCTTCCAAATTCACTGGTGCTTTCTCATGAGTCTTACCATTGCTGTGATACTACTTCTCTCTTCAGGTTCAAGTAAATGACACCTGTCTCATAACTCAAACATTCCAGTACATGAACATTTACTCCAGCGGCTCAGAGAAAGCCCAATTTTTAAGGGTTTCTCTCAAATATTTGTGCCAATTCACACCATAAATGTAGCTCAAGCTCAGCTTGTGAGATAAAAAAAAGTTCTGGAGGTCTGTTTTATAGCAGAAGGAACATATTTAACACTACCAAATTATGTAGTTAAAAAATGATTAAGATGGCAAATTTGGGGGGGGGGGGCTTGCCAGTTAGCTCAGTTGTTTAAAGTGCCTGCTTGGGCTAACTCAAGTCATACACGAGGGACCATGGTTTGATCCACAGCTCCACATGCCTCACCAGACCCACCCTTAAGGCAGCCTAAGCCAGCCAAAAAAAAAAAAAAAAATCCTTCTCAAGTTTAAAAAAAAAAAAAAAAAAAAAAGATGGCAAATGTTACTTGCTCTTTAGCCACAACAAAGTTTTACATTACAAGAAAAAAAAAAAAGGTAGGGGGTTCAAGATCCTTGAAAGAACAACATTGTTTTTGTTGAAAAGATTGTTGCAAGAAAAACTAGCCAATACTTTCACTCATCAGAAATTAATTTCTGCAGCTAAGCATCTTTAAAAACTAATGCAACCAGGCATGGTAGCACACACCCATAATCCTGGCACTTGGGAGGCTGAGGCAGGAAGAGTGCCACCTGGGCTACCCAGTGAGATCAAGGCCAGTCTGAGCTACATAACAAAACCCTGTCTCAAAAAACAAAACAAATGCACAGCTACAAATAGAAATCCTAGTTGGTACACTTGTGAAACATCAATAATGTGTTATGAGTATACCAAAAGATTTAAAGCTATTTCTATATCCTACTCAGATGGTGATTTTAATATTCTGGCCTTGTTTCCTAAAACCAACAAATTTAAAATGACAGGGGGTGGAGGTGCTGTCAGAAAGCACTAACCAATCTTGTCTTAACTCTGTCCTTCATTTCCATGGTTGGTATCAACTGACACAGTTGCAATTTTCCAAAGATGTCAGAGAAGCTCTGAATTCCCTATCCAAAAATACCTTAAAGAATGAAAAGACTGTTTGCTGTCTACTTCATAATTTTTTTTTTTTTTTTTTTTTTTTTGCCCAGGCTGGCCCAGAACAGGAAAATTATGCACCACTTATTTTAGGAATGTGAAAGTATCAGTGACTTAATGAGCTGAAGGAACAGCATTTGTATATTCCTTAATCTTTTGCAATACCTGAGTTGTCCACTTTGAAGAAAATAAAACCGCTGTGTAAATCCTTTTAGGAAATTAATACTTCACTTACTAACTAGGTCCTGAATAAGCAGTAATCTTTATTCAGTCATTAGATTTAGCAATTAAATACTGGATCAGCATTGCTAACTTTAATCACTTCAAATCTTTCTTTTCCCTTACCAAATGTCACTTCTCCATTTCCACTCTTGTCAAACAATTGGAAAGCCACTATGAACATGGAATCTGGAGCACATAAAACAGATTCAAAAGCCAAAAACTCTTGATAGGAGATCAACCTGTAATGAAATATAAAATGTTACTGGCTGGGAAAGAAAGAGAAAATACTGGGCATTTAATCTGCCCTTACTTTATGAACTAATTAAGGGTAACTGAATAATTGATGAAGGGTAGATATATTTTAGGTATGGAGGAAATACTACCTTTTTGTAAGCCTCTAATAAATTAATGAACCTGAGTACTAAGCAACAGGCCCTAACATCACAAAAAGAGAGAGAACCAGACCAAAAATAATTAAACATGGAAGCTGAGGCAGGGAGATCCAAGTTCTACTCCAACCTGGACAGCTTATTTTTCAAAGTTAAAAGGAGGAGAAGGGGTTAGGGTATAACTCAGTAGAAGTCCCTGGGTTCAATCCCTAGTACCAAATAAACAAATCAAATTAAATCTGAATCTGATAAAGTCTCCAGATCAGTTTCTCAACCTCAGCAGTACTGACATTTTAAGATGGACAATTTAGACTGGGCATGATGGCACGCGCCTGTAATCCCAGCGCTTGGGAGGCTGAAAACAGGAGGAGTACTATGAGTCTGATCTACGTAGTAAGACACTGAACACCCTGTAAACTCTGTATCAAATACAAAAACAAAAAGGACAATTTGTCCACTATTGGGATCTCCTACGCATTATAGCACACTGAACATCACTGGCCTCTGTCTAGAAAATTCCTCTAACGATGCATTTTGAAATATATAGAGCAATAAATATAGGGCAGTTAAAGAAAGATTAGTTTCTTAAGAAAAGTATTGCAATGAAGATGAAACTATCCCTGAAAAGAACAGTCAATTTTGAAACTAGCATATTTACAGGTAATAAAAACAGTGAGCTAGGGGCTGGGGAGATGGCTCAGTGGAATAAGCGCTTCCTTAGCAAGCACAAGGGTCTGAGTTCAATCCCCGGTTCAAAAAAAAAAAAAAAAATAGTGAGCTATAAAAAAGGATAAATTTGAGGCTTTTATCAGTAAACGGATGCAACTAGAGACCATGCTCTTAGGGGAAATAAATCAGACCTGTATGTGCATATGTTGAATTGTTTCCTTAGTATAAGAACTTGATGGGCCAGGGAGATGGCTCAGTAGGATAAGCACTTGACCGGCAAATGCAAAGATCTGAGTTCAATCCCCGGTTCCACCAAAAAAAAAAAAAAAAGAACTTGAAAAGATAAAATCTGAAGAGTACAATAGATACTATGAAAAGGGAATGAATCTGTTCAAAAGGAAAGAATAACTGAGATGAGGAGAAGGACAGGAGATGGAGCGGGAGAAAGAGATATATGTCTATGTATGTAAGCAGGATGGTTTGGCTAATTGTACTATGGATTTCTGCTGGTATGTGGAAAGGAGTAATTAATACTTAATTTTTTTTGGCCTTTTTTCTTTTCCTTTTTCTCTCTTAATGTCTTATAAATTTTTTTCTTTCTTCTTCCAATTTTGCATGCATATATCTAGCAATCTGAACAACTAATTTGAAGAGAACACTAGGCAATACAACAAATACTGTCAAATTCATATTATTTTGCTTAGTGAAATTCTGTATCATTTGTATATTTTCTGTTTTAATACTATGTTATAATCTCTTTAAAAAATAAAAAAGTAAATTAAAAATAGCGAGACTTGTGATCTCCCAAAACTTGTATTTCAATAGCTGTTTCAACAGCTACAGTCATTTTCAATAGCTACAACCTGCAATGGCCTCCTAACTGGTATTCTAGATCCTTCCAGCCCTCCTTTAAGCCATCTTCAAATTGTAACCAGAGGAGATTTTTTGACTAAAAAAAAAAAAAAAAAGCTTTGAATTTACTCCACTTTTTGGCCAATTAACCCAATTAAAGTATATGTCCAGGGCTACCCACTCAGAGCCCCCTTCTGTCCTTCCTATATGGAAGCTTTCTTCCTTTCAGTAAGTAATTCTTACTCTTAAAAAAAAAAAAGTATATGTCCAATAATCCTGGCTATTATCACAAAATTGTGCAGGTTTCTCCACAACCAATTTTATAGAACATTATCACATAAAAAAGAAACCCCATAACTATTAACACTCCTTCCTCACTCCCTCCTTGTTTCTCCTCCTCCCTCTACCACTGTGCCCTTAGAAATCACTTTATATACTTCACCTCTTGATATATTTGTCTGGTATGGACACTATATTTTAAAATACTCTTTATATCCCCCTTTTTTTGTTTTGTTTTATCAGAGATGAGTGTTCCACTGTGGTTAGAGAAGCCATATTTGGAGAAATCTTTAAACGTCTTTTTCACACTTGATGCCAGACCAAGAATTGGAGGTTCTTGAATTCAGCAAACTGACCCAACATAGTCCAATAGTCCATAATAGTTGTGAGTTGTCAGCACAACTGGCAATTGTCAGAAGTTGTTCATTTGAATATTTTACAGCTCAGCATATTAATATAGCTGTACTTTTTTTTGTGCAGGGTCTCACTACGCAGCTCAGATTCGTAGTGATCCTCCTGTTTTCTGCCTCCCTAGGGTTGGGATTACAGGTATGTGCCACCAAGCCTGGACTAAAAATATTCTTCCTATTAAACTGCTACCACATAATATCCTTGAACCAATATCTTCCAATTCCATCTCCCCCCAACCACCCAAGCCTCCGGAAACTATACCTTTCTACTCTCTATTTCCTGAGACCAACTCTCAGATTCCACATATGAATGAGAGCATGCAATATTTGCTGTGTTCCCAGGCCATGAAGTGTTGCCCCTCTGCCATGTGTCACCCTGCCTTAGAGCCTCCTGATTATGGACTGAAACTTCTGCAAACCATGAGCTAAATAAACCTTTCCCCTTGTGTTGGGTACTTTATCTCAGCAATGAAACAAAAGTAACTAAAACATCAGGGGAATCTTTTTAAATGTAAATCTGATTTAGTCACTATTTTACTTCAAATCTTTTTTTTTTTTTTTTTTTAAAATTTTTAACTAGCTAGATGTGGTAGCTAATGCTGAAATCCCAACACTCAGAAGAACTGAGACAGAAAGATCACACAGAGGAGCTCTGCCTGGGCAATTTATTGACTTCATAAGACTCTGTCAAAGAATGAATGAAAGAATGAATGAATGAATGAACAAAAGAAAGAAAGACAGACAGACAGAAAAGGGCAGTGTGAAGGCGCTGAGTCCAATGCCCAGTATTGTAAAAACCAATCAATGTGTCAATCAGTCAGTGGTCATCCTCAAAGGGGAGTGTCCAAATGCCCTGCAGTAACAGTAGCACCTCTCGTCACTCTTTGGTGTCCTGATCTGGACCACACATTTCTAGGAGTCTACAACTTCAAAGAATGGAGCTACTCCTTAAAGTGGTTTGTCGGCCCCATGAGCTGAGGCTGCATACCTCTGCTCCCTCGTGATCTCCACACCGGAGCTCACCTGCTCTCTCTGGGTAACACAACAACCCATGCTCCTGCCCTCAGGGACGTTGGTCAACCATTCATTCTTCTTGGAATGCTCCTGCTACGGGAGCTTTGTTCAATTTGCATCTGGTCCCTGCACAGCTCAGCTAAAATGTCATTTCTTCAAGAGACGCACACAGAGCCTCCAGGTGATTTCTCAGCCCACATCATACACTCTTGTAAAAGCACCCTGTACTTTTTTAGCTGCCTTTCACAATTCTTATTAAAATAATTATGCAATTAACCATTTAATGTTGAATATTTAAGAATTATCCACCACAAGAAGCTAGGCTTGTCACAGCGCACAAGCTGCAGAGTAAGAACTCATATATATTTTTGAGCAAATTCAATTTATGATATATTTATAAAAAGTTGGACATGGTGGCACATGCCTATCAACTCAGTATGCAGGAGGCTGAATCAGGAGGATCACTATGAGTTTGAAGCTAGCCAGGGCTACACATGGAGATCCTATCTCAAAAAAAAAAAAAAAAGAAAGAAACAAAATACATTTGAGAGGGCCTGGGAAGATGGCTCAGTGGAATAAGCGCTTCCCTGGCAAGCACAAGGGCCTGAGTTCAATCCCTGGTTCCGCAAAAAAAAAAAAAAAAATGTGAGGGCTGGCCAAATAGCTCAGTGGGTTAAAGTGCCTGCAAGCAGGAGCAGGGGCCAGGGGTTCGATCCCCAGGCCTGCTGGGCTGGCACCAGTCCCAGGGCACACTGAGATGGCAATTGAGACTGGGCATGGTGGAGCAAGCCTATAATCCCAGCACCTGGGAGGCTGTAAACAGGAGGATCACTATGAGTCTGATCTAGTAGTGAGACCCTGAACACTTTGTAGTAGACCCTTCCTTAAAATACAAAAATTAAAAATAGAAATAAAAATAAAAAATATATTTGTGAAAATGTATTTTGTGATGCAGTATAAGGCAAATGACTTTACATTTCACATTTCCTTTTGTGCCCCTTTTCACCTTAAACATACTGTCTATTCAAAGTTGTGTTTTCTAAGACTTTAAACACTTTGAGATCTGTTTAAATTAGAAAAGTTGCAGTATTTCTAAAACAATGATGCACACTATGCATTTTCTCTCTTTTTTTTTTTAATATATATTTATTTATTTATTTATTTTGTGTGTGTGTGTGTGTGTGGCCAGCTCAGCCCACCTGGGGGCTGGGCTGGCTGGCATGTGGTGCTGGGGGATTGAACCGTGGTCCCTGTGCTTTGCTAAGCTTAGCTTGTTCTAAGTAGGTGCCCTAGACCACTGAGCCATCTCACCAGCCCGCATTTTCTCTTTATTAAGGGAAAAACTTCAAGGCACTGAAGACTATTCCCTTATTAAGGGCTAAAGTAGCACTAAGCCATACTGGGGCCAAAGAGTCACTGGTGAGATTAGGTACATGAGTGCCTGGTGAATCCTTGAAGAACAATCTAGGTTACCAGATCTTCATCAAGCTACTTGATGGTTGGTCCTACCAAAAAAACAGTAAAACTTGAAAATGTAGTCATCATTACACAAATTTCAGGGGAGATCAAACAAACACAGCAACCATATCTCATTCTCATCATGACTAGCCACACGTGCCTGAAAGG